AATAATCGGCCGATTCATCGATTTTTAAAATAATCGTTAGTTGCAGCCCTAATCATGATAGAATTTGAATGAATTCATGAGCCTTTATTAGTTGGCTTTAACACATTTAGGTAAGAAAAGACATCCTAAGTGAGCGATCACAGCTATTGTTCCCTATTCTCTCCAGTCTACTCTCCAGACATGCCATCTCGTCTACCTGTCCAAGACATTTTTGCAGGGCTGGTCACCAGTATCGGAACAGCCATCAGATACTGGTTTCACTACACACTGGTCGCCTTTGCCTGGCTAGGTGTTGTTCCTCTCACAGCATGTAAGTCCCCAAAACAAGCAGTCAAACATAACTAAACATAACATAAAGCTTTTTATATTTTAACTAAAGAAAACCTCTTATGTTGTTGTTTTTTTTAACTGACATTTAATCTTTTTGTTTGTTTTCCTGGCAGGTCGCATCTACAAGTGTTTGTTTACCGGCTCTGTGAGCTCTCTCCTTACCCTGCCATTAGATATGCTTTCCACGTAAGTCTCTGGCCTTGGGTTTGTCTTTCTATTTCTGGCTGATGTCTTCACAGACCTTTGGGTTTTTGATCTCTGTAATACCAGTTATATAATTGGTATTTGGATGCTTTAAATAAATGTCATCATTTTTAAGGGATCTCTGAAATAGCTATGAGTGGAAGAGATATTACTAATGAAATCATTTTCTTTTTGGTTTCTGGTTGTATTTGCAAGCATGTAAGAAAACATATGTATAATACGGTCTGTTTGTCCACAGAGGGCAGAGTAATGATAGTTCAATTCCAGTACCCTCCCACAGTAGAAACCCCAAGATTTGTTGCTGTGTATATTGCTGCATGGATTGTGGTTCTGCTGTTTATGTCTTTCTTTTTTTTTATGTGTTTTTTTTTTTTTTTCTGCTTGTTATACCACACTTAAATACTTTTAGTTGCATTCTGCTGAGGTCTGGAACTAGGGCTGGGCGATAATTCAATAACGATATATATCGATTGATAGACGTGTGGCGCAATAGAAAAAAAGAGAGTCGATAAAAGTTCGATAAAAAAGAAACGCTGTTTTCCTTCCTTCTCATTGTAGCCTAGCATGTAGGTTTTTGCTAGTCGCTACTTCCTCCCAACCAATCACAATCGCGGAACCAGGCACGCCGTCACCAAGCGCCGCCCTCTCAAACCACAACACAGAGGACATGAAGATGTCGCAGCGAGGAGAGGCAGAGGAAATTGTTCCAAAGAAGGGTTTTTGTAGTTCGCCAGTTTGGAAGTATTTCGGTTATGGCAAGTCGGACAAAAAACAAACCACAGTCATCTGGAAAATGTGTTGGGAACCAGTGAAAACGAAGTCTGATAACACAACCAACTTTTTTCTTTTTTTTTATCATCTCAGCCGCTCACACCCGCAGGAGTACGAGCTGTGTAAGCCCCGGCGCGGCTCTCCTCTGAGGAATCTTCGGGGATTTCGGGAAAATATATATATATTCAGTTCTGGGCAGTTTCCCACGTAGTTCTAACAATTGAGATAAAAATGCTGAGGGGCCAGAAACTTCAAAGTAATAACTCAGGTTAAAGCAGGAAACTAAGCCCAACCAGGTTCAGCTTAGAAGAATGGGGGCGGCGGGGGGATTTATTTATTTGT